TTTCCCCCCCCTCTACTTCCCCTTCTTTTCCCCCCCCTCTACTTCCCCTTCTTGCCCTTGGTGTTGGTGATCTTGGGTTTCTTCTTGGCCGAGCCCTTGGCTTGGGGCTCCTTGCGTTTGGCCGAGGTGATGGAACCAGTGACCTTGAAGAAGTCATCCAGGCGCCCCTGGGTGCTGCCCTGGCGGCTCTTGCTCAACCTCTTGACCCCTCCTCTGATCCTTTCCTCACTGAACTGCTTCTCCCCACACAGAAACTCCACCAGCTTCTCCTCGTCGGGCTCCGACCACTTCAGCTCCACGGCGTGAGGGTCGACGACGTCGGGTTCCAGGAAAAGCTTCTGGGCTTCTTTGTGCAGCCAGTTCTCAGGCAGGGGATATTTGTGGGTGTCGAGGCGTTGGATGATCCTCTCAATGCTCTTGTGCTCCCTGATGAGCTCCACGGCCCTCTTGGGCCCGATGCCTCGGATGCTCTCGCAGTAATCGCAACCCAAGAGGATGCAAAGATCCACAAACTGCTCCCAGGTCAGCTCCAGCTCCTGAAGGACACGTTGGAGGTGGAACTCTTGGATGGGCAGCTTCTTAGCCTCGCTGGCTGTCAGGTGCCTCATGAGGACGGGGCTGCCAAAAGTCAGGCAGTCCATGTCCTCCGTGGCGGCGGCGTAGACCCTGCCGGCCTTCACCAGGGCTGCACAACTGGCTTCAGCCTCCCCCGGAGCCTCCACGTAGGGGATGCCCATCAACCTCAGCAGCTTTTTGCACTCCTCGGTGTGTTGGGGGGTCACTTTGACCAACCTTTTGGTGTATTTCTCCACGCCAGCTTCCTCCCCAGCTTGCTGAGCTTCTTGGAGGTGTTTCTCCGCCTCGGCTCGGCGCTCGCTGCGTTTCTCCAGCTCCCCAGATTTCAGCTGAGGGGGTTTGCCATCAAAAACATACACAGGCTTGATGCCGTTCTCCACCATGCGGATGGTGCGGTAGAACATGCCCACCAGGTGGCTGGTGGTCTCCCCCTCCTCGTTCTGCAGGGCCTCTGCCCCCTGGCGCACGGCGATGAGGAACTGGTAGATGCTCATGGAGGCGTCGATGGCCACTTTCCTCCCAAAATAAGCCTTGATGTCCTGCTCCCGGATGGCTCCCGGGGCCACCTCGGCGATCAGCTTGGCCAGGCCGTGGATTCCCATCCTGGGGAAGGGGCTGGAGGGGTTCCCGGGGGAGCTAGAGGGGTGGAGCACCTATGTGAGGAGGGAGAGGAGGTGGTCGCTTCCCTGCTGGCTGTCACCCCCCCACGCAGCCTCCTCAGCACGCTGGTGACCCCTCACTGAGGTCATTGCTGCCCCCTCCCCACCCCAGCCCCCCCTCTTTAT